CTACCAGCAATTACTAAATAGTATCAATGATGTTTTTCTTTTTAATTTTGTATAATAATTTTTGTCATTTTAATTATTTGATCAAGGTCAAAGTCGATTTTATTTTACAAAGTACTGACTTCTTAGTAATATTCAATCTCTATTATTATTATGATGATGATGATGATGATGATTTTATTTTTATCAGGTATTGAACTCAGGGCTTTGCTCTTCTGAGCAAAATCCCCAGCCCTCTATCATTATCTTTTTAATTTTAGTAAATATATTTCAACATTGAGAAATTTACTAATTCTTATTGCTTCTATTCTACAGGAGCGTGTCCCCTCTTACATTTTAGGAAATACTAGTCTCTTGACTCTTTCTGACAGTACTTTTAAAAATTCAATTTTTTAAGTTTTTTTTAATGTTAGCACAATTTCTACTATCATTGAGATTTTCTTCTGAAGTGCATTTGTTTCATTATGTTAGATTCTCATACATGTATGGTGATCCCTACTCTCCTTTTTGTATATGTTCATATTATTCATATGTACAAGAATACTAACATGAATGTTGCTTGATCGATAATTGTTAGTATCTAGGCATTATATGGAAGGATGGACAAATAGGTAGATAAGGAAATAGAGATAAGTATAACTTGGTGTGGGTAAGAAGGAAGGAAGGAACTACTCACTAGCTATGGGAATTTGTTGTTTTTCAGGGAGTTTCAATATGACTCTGTGGATATATAGACAGACTGTGTAGACAATTTTTTCATCATGATAAATGGGTTGGCTTAATCCAGGTAAAACTGAACTCTCTTCTACTTGCCTTACTAAGCAAGATTCTTTCCTAGAGACAAGGAATTTTAGCAAACTTTTCTGTTGGGTACAACTGCTTATCCCTCATTGTAATATGCTTCCCTCGGCCTATTGTGTTTCAAATACCTAACAATCAATTCTTCTTCCCTTTTCTATTAATGCACATTCTAAGAGTCTAAGATCCGAAAGCAACCTGCATCTCACAGTTAATATAGAGCAGTGTTTACTAAGCTTTTCCTGCAGCAAAGACCTCAGCAGTTTTGCTGTGTACACAAAGCCTGTGCTGGCCTAGATCTAGATGTCTTGCAATTAATTATCTAGGTACTATCCCTAAGGCTTGCTCCTACTACCAGATCTTGCTGACTCTGAGGTTGGATTTTTTTTTCCCATTTTCTTTTGGGTTAACTTCTAACACTCACTTCTACAATAGCCTGACTTTCTATACAAGGATTGTGATTCTGATCCTTTATCCCTGTTTTTAGTTCCACTTGAATAATATTGTACATACTATAAACCTCATAAAAATCTTCAAAATATTTTTCTCTGTAGATATTTTTCAATCTATGTTCTGAAATGTCTGAAATTTTGTTACTATTTTTATTGCATTTTGATGTGATTTGAAAAATGAAGGAAGTAATTTTAAATCCTAATATTGCCACCTTGTCCAGAAGCCCTGATCATGATCCTACACATGAAATAATAAATATTGATTATTATTTTATGTTTACTGGGGATAAGGTGATTACTAATGCAAAGGAGGTAAGTATATTTTATAGAGATTTGACTGCTTATTTTCTGGGGCTCTGTTTTCTTGCTGTTATCTCTATAGTATTCATAATCCTTACAAATAAAAAATAACTTCTTGGAAGAGTGATTAGAATAATGAATTTGATAATACCTGGAAACTTCCTTGATGTACTGTTCTCAATAGTATAACATTAACTTCATATTGTAAGAAAAATATTAGAATCTTTCAAAAACTGTTTAAATGTGGAAGTGTAGTATGTATACATTAGCAAATCGTTATCAGAAACTAAATAGTTCTAGAAGATAATTTGAATAATGATCTGATTAATACAACACTTCTGTAAACATAGCTTAGGCAGAATTGTTCTATTTACAGAAAGGTATTTCAGGTCACCAGTATCTAATTATCTTTGCCATGATGTGATCCAGATTTTCTCATTTGATGATAGTTTTGGAGTGCCCTTAGGCCCTTGGGACATTTATACCTACCCTTAAATCTTCATCTGCCGAGAGCACTCAGACTCACAGCATCCAACAGTCCTCTCCTAGGCCTCTTCCTCCACATAGCAGTTCCATCACTACCTTGTGTTTGACAGTGATAATCCTACTGTGCTTTGAATAGCAATCACGAACTATCTAGTATTTTTTAAATCTGAATTACCCAGTATTTATGGGGGGGGTTTTGTTCAGCTTATATGCAAAGTCAGCAATTTACTATGAATGTATTGAAGCATTTTAGAATTAATTTGTACTTTATTTTCATGTAAAATTACTTCATACCAAGAGGTTGAATTAAACAGTGAAGGAAAAACTGCAAACTCTTGAGAGCATGCACTTTGATGTATGTATTTCCTTTTCACAGAAATGCATTATTTAAATATTGTCCTACCTATTCTGGCAACAGCAGATAGAATTGTGTCTAGAAGAGTCTTAGTGTCAGTTAGTTATAAGACTATCTTCCAAATACATTAATTGTTTTTTTTAATTAATATTCAAAATCTTCTGTACAGAAAATGAACTTACTATCACAAAAAGAAACTGAATACTAGAAAAGGAAGGCAGCAGAAAAGGCTATTTTTCTCTAGTTTCCAATGTGAGCCAGATCTATGCATAAATTAGTTAAACCAATGTTTGGCTCTCTTATATTCAGATATACCTAGTTTTAGAAGTTGCATGGCTTTCCCATGCAGCCTAATCCATGATTATATTTTTGTGAACTTTTCTAAAATTTGACCTTATGATAGTAACTAGTATTCTACCTAACCAAACTGAATCTTTTTTTTTGTTTGTTTCTTTCATTTAAAAGGCATTTTACTGAGCCTGGGAATTTAGCTCAGTGGTTCTGCTGCCTGTCTCACAAACACAGAGACCCGAGTTTGACCCCTGGGACCAAAACCAAGTAAATAAATTAATTAAATAAAATGCATTTCACCGAAATAATATATTGAACACTCAACCTAATATTTTATATTTTTAAATGAGGACTTGAGGGCTATTGAAATAATTTTCAAAAGACATTACTTCAGTTAACCTTCTTGTTGACATTTGTGGAAGTCACACCTGCTCTATTTTCTAGAAAAGTATCATTATTTAATGCTAAAAACAGGATTTTAGAAATAATCACATCTAGGTGGAAATCACGCCAGTTGTGTAACTGTACATTAGTAAAACTCAGGCTATATGTTTGTGTTAGTATTTGTGATTTCCTTGATCAGTCTGTTCCATTCTTTATCCAGCCCACAATTTGTTCATCTCCATCTGAACCCAATCAGAATACAATTCTACTGTTTCTCTCAGTTGGTTATAGAAATAATATAACTAAATACCTTGGTGTGGCCTGGAAATCTTTTCATGAGCTAGCAGGGGTTCACCTCTTAAGCCTGTTCATCAGCAAATCTCATCTCATTTATTGGTCAAACAGCATCAAATCTTTGTGGAATATCAGACATGTGCAGATGTCTCACTCTGCTATTTCTTTAAGCAAATGAGGACCTCCGTATATGCTCCCATCTTCTCACTACCACCACTGCTTAGATGGGAGTGGTGAGTGTACATAGTACTTTTCGGCAGGGTCCTCAGCATGCCAATCCTTTCAGTTTCTATCAAATACTTTGTCCTGTGTCCATATGTCAATAATAAATATGTATATTTACATTCCTCATAGACAAAATCCTTTTAAAATAAGGCTATTTCATGGTAGTTATTTTACTCCCAAGTAAAACTACAACGCTTAGCAAACATTGAAGATCTAAGGTAAGTAGTGTATACTAATATGTTAATCAAAGTCTTTTAACATTCAATTATATTGACTGCGAGAATAAACACCATTTATAGCATTTGTATGTTTGGCCTGTCTACCACTAAGGAGTGAAATAGCCCCAACCAATCAAGAATGCTAGATGTTTCAATTTTTTTTTCTGTTATTCTACTACTTTAAAAAAAAAGAAGCAATGCAGAAGTCTTATGAGAAATTAGGATTGAGGAAACAGATGTCCTCAGTAAATATCTAAAACCTAAATAAATATATAGTCTTAAACATTGCACAATTACAATTATTTAAATATGCCATAATTGTAATCTGCACTTAGCATCTGAGCTGCTTTTATAAAATGCTAATTTCCTTTTGCCAAAATTAGAGGTTCAAATGTTTCTATTCCCTTTAGTTTCATTTTCCCCCTCATTTTATATATTCTGAAAATCTATTCCAAAAAGCTCTACTCCTCTATTATCCTTTCCTTACCTTCTAATGCTATTTCCAAACCTTCTGCTCCCAGTAATTGTTATAAAGACTCATTTGAAGTAAAAGAGTTTTACACTTTAGAATGCACCCCAAGAATATGTAAAAATAAAGGTAGGGCATTAGAATTTCTGAAACATGGAATTTTAACTAGTGAAGGATTTCTAAAAGTTGTATTGCATTTTGAATATATATGCTAACGCTAAAGAATGCAAATAATAGGAAGAATCCTCCGAAATTTGTTCATAGTGATTATTTCCATAAGGTTAAATTTGATAACCTACAATCAGATATGGAGAAAAGGTAAATTTATATATTTTCTCATCTTTAATTTTATATCATGTGCTTGTGTTATATGTTCAAATAATAAATACATTTTTTCAAATGGATATTGATTCTTTCCAAATGTCAAGATGACACAAGTGTGCTGAAAGGGACAGCTTCCAGTTTTAAATTCATGGGTCTTATGAGAGACTGTAAAGGCAAGATGGTGGCTGAAATTAGTATGTGTCTGACCAAAGAAGTAACATAAACTATTTCATCATTTGTGTGTAGTCTAGCTTGACCTTAAAGATTAAATATCTTCTTCAAATCCTTTAATAAATTTTTAATTTTCATACCATCATAAAGGAGGCAAGCTATACTTTTTTAGTTGATTCCTTGATTCCCATCAAAATACACACTTGAGAGGCAATGATTCTGCAATTGTATTTTACCTGGAGTCAGCATCCATCAAGCTTCTGTATTAATCCATGACAAGAAGGGGCCACATTCACCTGGGGATAAGGACATGGCTTTCAGGATTTATGTCACAGTTGCAGTCCACACCAAGGAGATAAGTGCCCTGTTTCAGTTTTATATTTGATAGCTGGCCTTGGGTTGAAATCCTGTGAGTGAATAGCTATGTAATATAGCTATGCAATTTAACCTTTTGTGGATGAATAATTACATATCTAATAGAAATTAGTGGGAAAGTTTGCATTTTATTGAAACAAATCAAAATGAAAATTATTGTACACTACCTACTATATTTAGGATGATATTAGTTGACATTCTAAGGTTATTGTCATCAAAAAACAAAATAGCAATTGACTGTTATTTACAAAGTCAATGTAGTATTATTCCTAAAGCATTGGTAATAGATTTATAAAGATCTTCATTCTGATGGATAGCTATTGATGTATAACTATTGCCTGTTGCCAGTGGTCTGATTTTCACAGTAATACCTCAAACACCATGGTTAGAGTTGGGGGTGGAAACATCAGAATGCAACAGTGACACTGCTCAACACTCGGTGAGTTTACCTTCACTCTCAACCTTCAGTTAGTGACCTGTTATACACTGGGACAACCTAAGTATTACTTCTTAAAATGTAGAAGCTATAGTCTAAAATGGGGGAAAGTAGCATTCCAAGAGTTATTAATGTTGATTTCTGAAAGTATTGCTCTTCAAAAGCCATTTTAAACCATCATAAGTAATGAGAGCCTAGGAGAAAGTGTGGACCAAGAAACACACAGATGGCTTAATATAGTGAGAATCACATGATACTGGGTGCATTACCTATTAGCTGCAAAGACCTGGTACAAATCACTGCAACATCCTTCACCTTAATATCTTTATCCCTCAAATAAGAGTTCTCATCACACCTGTCCGAAAGAAGGTGGCATGGATAAAATTGCTAAGCATGTATAAGACCTATACAAATGTTAGATGCTATATCAAGTTCTTGATTCTCTCATGAGATCTGATGATTGATTTCAGAGATGGATGCATTTCAGAGTTAGTCATTGGTCCTGAGGAAAATATATTCTGATATGTTTTTAAAATAGAATGAAGTGATTATTGGAAATAATAAACATACTTTAAAATGTATTACTGTTTTGAATTGTTTAGTTATTGAGAAATTCTCTTGAACCAGTAGAGAATTATTCTAGTAAGGTCAGTAATTTTATTTCATCTAATTTAATAAGAGATGGAAATTCCATTGCTAGAATATTTAAATTGAGCAAAATGTTTAATGTTATTTTGAGTATTAAATAGTATTTTGCAATACCCTGAGAAAGTTGAATGTCCAGTGAATGATTAAACCAAGGATTCATGCTGATTGCCATATTATTAATAATGACACAGTGTGAAGTAAAGGAACACTTATTCTTAAATGCAGTCACGCCAGTGTGCATTTTTCTTTCCACTTACCTCTTCAACAGACACTTGTTGTGGATAAAAATAGTAGTCTTGTGTCTAGAGAAAATATTTTCATTGTCAGATCCCTTCAGTTTACATAGGTAAAACAAGCAAAACTTCCAGAGCTGCTTTATTCACTTTTGATTTTCATAAATATAAATTGAAAAAAATGAACAGGATTCAACATCTTCAAAATGTAAACAGTTCATAAATAGCTGATTCTAACATTCAAACTGCTGTTAGCAGTAAAATGATTTACTTGGTTTCATAAATAACAGATTTAAAATCAACTGAGACATGGTTTTTAAAATTGATAAAATAATCTCATTGATGTGCTTCACCCCTCTTTTTTTAAATAGAAAAAAAAGAAACAATTTTTCTTAAGTAAATAAAGCAAACAGTATTAAGTGATAATCAGAATTTCTGAAACCAGTCGGATAGATGTCTAAGATTTCCCTAATGATTTTTGGGCAAGAAAAGCTATATTTTGTTATTGTATTAAATTAATGTTGATGACAACTTGAAACAGAAATGTGGAGGAGAGGGAGAGAGAGAGAAATAATTTGAGTATTTTCTGAATAATAATGATAATAACATTGTAGAAATATTATTGTAGTAGTTTTATTTAGTTGATAATTGTAGAAATCACATTTCTATGTAAATTTTTATATCATTTATTTTTCTGGAAATTTCTTCATTTTATTAGAATTTTCAAATTTATTGCCATAAAACCACAATAATGGATGCTGATTGATATTAGAACTTTCTTGGAAAGTCCATGTAGCACAAATAAATAACAATAGCTTCCAAAGTCAATGACCATTGCAGAACAGAAGTAAAGCTCCATTCTAAATGAAGAGGGATTTAGAACCAAATGCCTCCAAAAATTCAGTATTCATTATTTCACAACAGAGATGATTCACTATGTTGGCCCGAACTTCATGAGAAACTGTTTCTCTTGAAAGGATAAAGTCCTTGGACCACTCTCTTCAATAAATTTAGATTTGAGTTTATACTACCAGTGTACAGAAAACTTCTGTATCCAGAAATTAGTCTTGCTCCTGTTATAACACTAGAGCAGTTATCAAAAGAAAAGAACACATACTCTTCTGCAAAATCAAAATATTAAAATGAAATAATTTTTGATATCATCATGATGGAACATTAGAATAATATATCAATTAACAATTAGCACTTTAGGGCCAGGGATTCAGCTCGGTGGTTCTAGTGCCTGCCTCACAAGGACCCAAGTTAAATTCCCTGTACAATAAAACAAAACAAAACAAAAACAATTAGCACTTTAGTCATATTTCACTTTCTGGCCAGTAACTAAAGTAACCTAAAGAAAAGCATACATTAGAAATAATTTCTACTTCCTCATCCTCTGTAGCTAGGTCAATGACAAAGTGTTGGAAAACGTCATGCATTCTGGTATAACAGGCACATTGAGGCTAATGAGGAAATTTAGCTAATTTGGAGAAGTTTTGTATAAATTAAAAGAGTATTCTAAGAAAAGTCATAAGATATTCAGAGGCCCCATGGTACAATAAATCATGATTCAAAGTTAACAAAGCTGCAGTGCAACCGCAGCAGTGATTGAGATGGCACTGTGATGTGATGTTGGAGAGACAAGGCAGGCTGTGTGAGGAATCTGGACTTTGTGCAGCCTATATATTGAGAGTGTTCTAAAACGATTACTCTGGTTCCCATTTAAGTGGGGATTGAAGAAAGAAAAGAAGCAAAGGGAGAAGACAATTAGGATACTGCTCTGGCAGTTTTGCTCAAAGATTATGCCTGAGATAGCCTAAGGGAATATCTCACTCATGACGAGAAGGGACAGGCAAGAGCGGAACAGGATTTCCAGATGCTTGGCTTGTATATCTTGGGTTGTGGTAACATTCTCACTGAGACTGGAAACGCTAGAGGAGAGGAGGGGAAGGAGAAGAAACAAATGATTTTCATTTCAAATTTTAAGTTTGAGACAACTGTGTGAAGACCAATGAATAAACTAAAATGTGGATGACTTACGCTGATATGTAGCAGATGAAGTAAATGCTATTAAAAAGCCAAAGATAAAGCTTCAATGAAGTATCTTCTACCTGTCTTAGTTATACTATAAAAATAACAGGTTAGGTGCAAATCTGAGCAGAAGAATCAGAATGGGTTTCTGGAAGATACAATGAGTCTAGTAGATTTTGAAAGGTAAGTAGAAGTTTTCTTTCATTTGTTAGGGGTAAAAATGTACATTAGCATAAAAAGGAAAGATTGTAAACTGAATGGTCACAGAACAGTCGTTACAGTATACATAAAAATTGGGACATGTGGTGGTTATAAGTGGATATAAAGATGACACAAAAGTAAAAAAGGGCTCTCTCAGTTAAGGAAGTGAGACATTCTTTCCCTCGAGATAATGAAAATTAGTCACATATTTGAATATGAGAGATAATATATGTAAAATTTCATTTTAGCAAAAAATGACTAGATAATCAATGCAGGAAAAATTAAAATGGTATTTCTTGTTTGTTTGTTTGTTTTTGGTACCAGGGATTGAACTCGGTTCCTTGCGTTTTCAAGGCAGACTACCGAACAGCTGAGCTAAATCCCTGACCCTAAAATGGCATTTCTTGAACTACTTTCCAAGTATCACTAGCTCAATAAAAAGGTGATAATTTTTATGTGAAATAAAATAGTTCTGTAATCAATTTAAAAACTACTAAATTAAACAGTTATCTTTAGTACAAGGCTTCTTGTGGGCTATAATTTACTAATGTACCGTGTTAGTTGTTAGAATGGAGATGTAACATTTGTAGTTTCTCTAAATCATTAGACCAGGAAGCATTGCTTCAGATAACAAGACCGCTATTTTGCAAGACAAATTTCGGTAAACGGTTTGTTAAAACAAATTTAATTGTGTTTTGATGACATGTTCCTTTCTGCGTAAATTTTATATTTTTTGAAAAACAACATTAAAAAAAATAGCCATATTTCCGCCACCTGCCTCGCAAGCGCAAGGACCTGAGTTCCATCCCTGGAAGCCACAGAGGCACAGTAACCTTTTAATTTTGTGCTATTTTCTATGAGTCCGTGCCTTTGACTGGCAAGTTGTTAACAAGTAAAATAAACTGAAGTAAAGCAACGGACATATAGTGGCTTTTAAAGAATAAATACAGTTACTGATGTGTATGTATCTATGCCTGTGTAAGGACGCATCTTTGTCACTGTGTAAGATTTTCACAGGCTTGACCACACTTAAGGTGGTTGGTGTGACAATTAAAGATCTTAGATCCAAATACTAGCCACCCACATCACCCTTTTGACATTAAAATAGCAAAGAAAAGCAAGCAAACAAAAAAGAAGTCCACAGAGGATATTTAAATATAAAACAAGACCAAGTGAAAACAGGCACAGACAAACCATATTTTATTAATTTGTGATCTCTTTTTTTTATTTCTTGGCAGGTAATGAATCACGCATTTTTCCCTGGAAAGAGTCTGTTCTTTCCCTTGCCCACCACTTTTTCTGAGTGCAATCCCTTCACCATTTGCCCTGAGAAATAAGATACAACCTTTATTTAGCCTAAGCCTTAAACACCAATCCTCATGAGTATTCTGATGGAGTCATCTGGCATTCTGCTTCTTATGCTTTCTACTCTCTGTGAGTAGCT